TTTATCTATGTAGGATTTTAATTTCATCAAGTTTGGGTTAACCAAGTCATGCTTTAAGTGTACAAATTCTCTTAAAAATTTTCCTAATTTCATTCTACTTCATTCCCATTGCTTAATCCATTAAAATCAAGCATACAAGAGTCAAAATTAAGGTTGGTCAAACACCCATGCAAAACATGGCCAAAAATCTGCCATTAATTCTCTTTATTTGTTTCCTACCATGTTTCCCTCCTTTGAAGCAATTCTTAGACAAATTTTTGGCCTCATTAAAGCTCAAAAATAATTTCAAATCTTATAGTAAATCAGCTTGGTCGATGTTTACCTTTTCTTGAATCATTTCAAATTCTTTCCTTACTCATCTCCCTCCAAACTTCCTTGTCTTGGCTAAGTTCTTAAAAGGAGGTTGAGTGATTTTATTTTACCTTCTTGAGTGCAGCTTTCTTGCCCTGTAACTTTGGCCGAAAATTCTAAGTCCTCATCAAGCAAACCTTTTTTGATTTTGTTTTGTCCTCGCTTTTGACCATATTTTAATTGGGTGGAGTTTGCTTGGAGAAATTTACTTAATTCATACTTAATTCATTGAATGCTCAATCTCTCATCTAACTTTATATAAGATCTATATTATTTTATTTAACTTCCTTGATTACATGAGATTATTTAGATGAATTAATTTGATGTGTTTTGAAAGTTAATTTTTCATTTTTTTTCCTCCTCATTCTTATTTTAGTGATTGGAGAGTTTTGCAGCATAATATAAAAAGTGATTTAAAAGTTACTTTGTTACATATAGTTGTGTCTTATAGTTTTTCATGATTGTTTAATCAACTTTAAAGTGCAAGTTGTTCAAATCTCTTATGTTGAAAAGATTACATTCATTATATATTGATGTGTGCTTATTTCATCGTGGATTTCACATAAGCACTCACATAAGCTTCACATGCCAATTTGAGCTCTTGTGTATTTGCTTTGTCAATTATCTTTAGCTTGGGTTGAGTGAAAATCCTTTTAAAATATGAGTAAGCGAGATTAGTTGATTTTACTATTTTATTTTTTCTGTATTGTACTGTCTCATTGTATTTTGGGGTTGTACTTGCCCGATTTAAGAGAGTACGGGAGTGTGGTTGTAATCTTCAATTGATTAGTGGAATTCCTAGTTAGGGGTGACTAAACATGGAAGTAGGCCGATTTTGGGCCACATAAAAATCTTTTCTCCTATATTTTTTTTTCTGCTCTGTTTTACCTGTTTGACTATTTTTAATTGCTTTAATTAAAGTATTAAATACTTTATAATTTAATTTTTTTACAAAATCAAAAATCAAGATTTTTGAATTAAGAAAGAGAAAAATAATTTTTACCCAATTCACACCCCCCCTCTTGGGTGCTATAACATATATCAATTGACATCAAAGCCTCAACTCTTTTGTTTGGCTTAATATTCTATAGTATCACTATGCCACACTCATTTCCTAAATATGCACTAACTAAAGGACAATCCACACATAAACCACCATTGTTAGACAATGTACCTTTCAACCACTAAAAAAATTGTATCAGTACTTTCATTCGTGGTCAAAAATCATACATGTGGCACATATTAACACACCAATATCACACACCTACTATTATATTGAATGGTTTGAAAATTAAAAAAGCATTTGTTGATTGGTATGCTTAAGAAAGAGAAAATGATGAATTGAAGCCAAAGCTTATAATATTTTGTACTATGCTTTAATACTGATGATTACATGAGAATATCCAAGCTTCTTACTGCTAAAGAAATTTGGGATAAATTAATCATCACTTACAAAGACAAATGAATTAAAAGATACTCACATAAATAGACTTGTGCATGAAGATGAACTATTTAGAATGTTAATGTCAGAATGAATAGTAATTGCAATGTAATATAATAAAATAAAAGGGGTTATTTGGCTTGATTAATTTGAAAATTTTTAAAGTCTTAAATATAATATTAAATAAATACATGCCTTTTAGAGATGCATGTTATTTGGTTTAATGTAAGTTAGATGCAACATTTTTTATGATGCCCTTCATACACATGCATTTTAGATGTTAAGTGGGCAATGAGGTTGGTATGATGTGCATGGTTGGCATGACTTTGGTCAAAAATTCTAAGTCCTCATCAAGCATAACTTTTTTTTTTTGGAGAAAGATTTGAAGCTTTTTCAAAGTGTAAAAATCTGATTTTGTTTTGTTCTTGCTTTTGACCCTATTTTAATTGGGTGGAGTTTGCTTGGAGAAATTTACTTAATTCATTGAATGCTCAATCTCTCATCTAACTTTATATAAGATCTATATTATTTTATTTAACTTCCTTGATTACATGAGATTATTGTTATTTCGATGAATTAATTTGATATGTTTTGAAAGTTAAGTTTTCATTTTTTTTTTCTTCTCATTCTTATTTTGGTGATTGGAGAGTTTTGCAACATAATATAGAAAGTGATTTAAAAGTTACTATGTTACATTAAGTTGTGTCTTATAGTTTGTCAAGTGAATCTTCAAATTCTAATTGAGAATATTGCATGATTCTTTAATTACCTTTAAAGTGCAAGTTGTTTGAATCTCTTATGCTGAAAAGATTACATTCATTGTCTATTGTTGTGTGCTTATTTCATTGTGGATTTCATATAAGCATTCAAATAAACTTCACATGCCAATTTGAGCTCTTGTGTATTTGCTTTGTCAATTATCTTTAGCTTGGGTTGAGTGGAAATCCTTTAAAAATATGAGTAAGCGAGATTAGTTGATTTCACTATTTTACTTTTTATATGTTGTACTTTCTCATTGTATTTTGAGGTTGTTCTTGCTAGATTTAGGAGAGTACGGGAGTATGGTTGTAATCTTCAATTGATTAGTGGAATTCCTAGTCAGGGGTGACTAAGCGTTGACGTAGGCTGATTTTGGGTTTAGTTGAACCACATAAAAATCTTTTCTCATATATCCGAGGGAGAGGGGGTTTTTCTTCGGGGCTCGAGAGATTGAATAGATAGGGCCCGCACAAGTTTTGAATTCGCCGCTGGGGAATTCACACAAAAGGGAACGAGGAATTCTCAACGAAAAAAGTGCTCTCTGAACCGAACGTGAAAGTTGTTTTCCATCAGACGGCTGTTCACGTAACTCCACTCTCGGCTTGGATTATATATCCAAAAGGGTCCGCTCTCGGCCATTCCACACGCTGCCTAGCAGAGGCGTGGTCATCTTCAGTGGATTCTCTCTTTTCTTTCTTTTGTAGTAGATGCCGAACCTGCTGCTCAGTGGGCGGTCGCAGCAGCTACATGGACCCCTTCCTTTATGTTGTTGCCAGCGCTTTCCCGGGCCGAGCCGGAATTCCTTATTATCCCGAAAGAAGGCTGCTATCCCCTCGGCCTTCTTCGTTTTCGATGAAAAACAAATCGACATCTCGATCTCCCAAAGCGTTTTCCTGACCCCGCCGCATCCCCCTCCCTTCGTCGAGCCTTTCCTTTCAGAAAGAAAAGAATAAAAAAAAAGCCTCTGGGAAGCAGCAGGGATGACAAAAAGAGGGCGCTTTCCTGTGTTGCACTGAAAAAAGGACAAACGAGAAAAGCGTCTTCTCTTAGGTTTCTTCCTCCCGCTTAGCTTAGCCCGGCCCGCGTTAGAGGGGAAGATTAGCAGAGCGGGAAAAGACAGAGGGAGGGAGAGCTGCATCTTTTTCTATTCGCGAGAACTTCAGGATCGGAGAAGCATTCGGAACGGGCGACGCCTTCAGCAGAAGCAGAAACGATCCAATCCATTCGGGGCTTCGGGGAACAAAAAAACGAACTATTTTGACTTGATTCATATCTTTTTCTTTCTTCAGAGATATTCAGAGATAGATAAGGCGCTAGAGACAATAAATCGATGAACTAGATATATGTATGAATGTCTTCATTTCAAAATAGGAAGAGACCTTTATCTGTCTATGTATCTCTTATTTCATTTTTTTTTTTCTGAAAAAGAACAAGACTAGCGCCTATTTCTTTTGAATAGTGAGATCTGCTCTTTCTCTCAAAAAAATCTGGAGAGAGAGCAGATGCTCAATAGCACCTATATGGAACACTTAGCGGGTCACAGTAATTGGTGATGACATGTGTGGCGATAACAATAGTGGGAAATGTGACATGGTGTATTCAAAACTCCTATTCATTTAATGATTTTGTAATATGCTAAAAATGTACTAAAATGTAAAATTTAAATACATCAACATATTACTTTGGATTAATTTTTTCATCCAACTAAACATAAAAATTTTAACATCTCATGAATTTCTTTTACACTCAAAATATTTTAAATCAACCCACTCCTAAATCAAGCCATGTTAAATCTTATTGATAACATCGGAGGAGCTAAAATGTGCTCAGACAAGTCTGAGAAGATGTTGATGCTGTAATAAGAAGTTCGAGCTATAAATGTTTAAATAATCACGTGAATATGAAAAATTATCTCATATATTTTAATTGAGGAATTTACATGCACAACTCCGAATTCTTATGCATTTACCTATCTCACACTAAACTCTCATTTTACAAACCAAGCACCAAACTTACTTCTTTCATCACTCTAACAATAGTGAAATTCACATTTTTATCCATAGATAGGGCACTCATTTTGTAAAAATGATAGTTTGGGCGTGAGATAAGTAAATATATAAGAATTAGGGGACGTGTATATGAATTTCTAATTTTAATTTTGTTTATTATGAAATTATTTTTGAAGAATGTGTAATCAATAAAGATATAGAGCAGTGCAAATAGTTGTATTCTTATGTAGATGCATTGTATGGGATAAAGTACCGTGAAGAGCAAAATTAGAATCGAGTCATAAATGAAAAATTATTATATACATTCACCGCACGTAAAACTGCATACGAATTTGCCCAAAAAATGTATGATTGTGGGCTAATTTTAAAAATTTAAAAATTTTTAAAATTAATATTAATTAGATGCATTTTTTTTATTGGAGGGCGTACCTACTCCGGATGGAAAAATCGCTCGCCGTCAACACCTAATCCTGTTTCCGTTGCCTGAGCTCCAGCAGGAGCAGGAAAGAGAAGAAGAGGAAAATCGGAAATGATGAATTCCATTTCCGGGCTTTCGATGTATCGTTCTCTTTGCTTTTTCGCTTCTTTTAATCCGAATCCCCTCAAATGTCCACTAATTTCTCTCCGGCGGCACTTGTCGACCTACTCCCTTCGTCCGCCTAGGTGAGCTTCACGACCTCCTTTTCATCTTTCTATAGCCGATGATCCACATGGCGCGTTCTGCAACGGTGAATCTTCTGTTCTACTTGCCCTTAATTGAGAAATTTTCGTATCCTCTAACATTTCCTAGAAATAATTTTCAGCCTCGACTGCGAAATTTCTGCCAGTTTGGAATTTAACAGGATTTGTGAAATTCTTGGCTGAACAGAGTTTAACAGATTTTTCTTTTAAATTTTAGATTCTGATAAAAAAAAATTCGAACAGTTTATCAAGATTTAAGGAGATTTAACAGTTGCCATGGTGAGTCTCATCCTACTTGTAACCAAACAGCTTTATTGTCCTCAAACTGAATCCTTTCTTGCTATCGTTTCTTTTTTGTGTAGGTCAGAGTTGTCGTTCACAGTAGGAACCCACCTTATTCCTCATCCAGCGAAGGTGGCTCATTGTTGTTGAACTTTTTAATACTGAATCATTTTGTCCACCAATTTAACGGCTTCTGAAAATTGATTATATCAAGGCTCATACTGGTGGTGAGGATGCCTTCTTCGTGAGCAGAAGCAATGGGGGTGTTCTGGCCATTGCAGATGGTGTTTCCGGGTTAGCCATCTGACTTTGAAGCCAATTGTTGTGCTTTAACCCTTTATTGTTAAAATTTTCATTTTTGCACAATCAACTGGCAGTTGGGCAGAACGGGGAGTCAATCCCGCGCTGTTTTCCCGGGAGTTGATGGCTAATGCTTCTAATTTTGTCATGGATGAGGAGGTACTTCTATTGTTCAGGGTTGGAATTCCTGTGTCTGAAGGTTATAGAAAGGGTACTTTGCTTTCTCTGTGTATGATGCACCACCATTCATGTTCTCCTTGGTTTAGTGTTTGAAGACAAACTTCTATAGCAGATTTGTCACATCCTCGATCATTTTAGAGTATTAACTATGTCTCACTCTCATTTTTAAATGTCATTAAACGGGTGCTTTGCTTCTTCAGATAGCACCATCCACACTATCTTTGGTCTTCTATTTGAAGTCTTTTTGTGCCTTTGCTGATAACTGTTATAGCATGTTTAAATCTTCCATGATCAGTTAAGGTAATTAGCTATGTTGTTCTTTCATCTGTAAATCATTTTTCTGCATCGGGAACTTGACCACATTTTTTCTATCCTCCATTATCAATTTCATGTAGCCGACCCCACGTAGTGGGATTAAGGCCTTGTTGTTGTTGTTGTTGTATTATCAATGTCGATAAGAAATTTTCTTGCTATTTGTTATGGTATCATCTGTGCCACAACAATGCAGTATGCCCTTGAAAGTATGATATTATTTTACCCACCAAGTCGTAGGTATGGGCCTTGCAGTTTGGTTTAATTTTCTTACAGTGTATTCATGGTCATTACTCAAATAATGGACATCGTATCTTTCTATCACAGATCAACTGTAATCCTCAATTGCTCTTGATGAAGGCTCATGCTGCAACTTCCTCTACTGGATCGGCTACAGCGTAAGCTTTTTTAAACTTACATCGGAAAAATCTCCGTAAGGCTTCAGCCTTCTCGTCTTTCCCACAGTTTTTATTTTGATGACTAGAATGAATATGATTTGCAAGTGTTTCCACATCAACATGCTGTTCTTTACAGTGGCGTACTGTAAAGAAGCTGTTCATGCTTGAAAAGAATATTGCTTTTATCATCTCGTGGATGTACTTTCAATTTTCAATTTTAGTGCATTTGTGCTCTATTTTTTTTTTTAAAACATGTAATATATCTATTTACTTTTTGTTTATATGTGATACCTTTTTAAATGTACTTCGTAGTTCCATTATACTATCATGAGTCACAAGCCTTTTCCTTTTTGCAGTTACTTGCAAATGTGTAAATTTGCTAATCTATTCAGTACCACACAACTACAGATTTTCCTGACCATATAGTTTTTCTTATTTCCAATCTGCTTTAATTTAATGTTGGATATTTTTCTTGGCAATTTCCTCCTCATGTAGAAGTATTGCAAATTTAAATCACTGTTTACCTTTTATGGATGATTTGCGTAGGATTGTTGCCATGCTGGAAAAGAATGGAGTTCTTAACATTGCAAGTGTTGGAGATTGTGGTCTCCGTATTTTTCGGAAAGGTGATTAATGAAATTGTTATTACTTCTATGTTTTTTCTATTTTCTATTGCTTCAAGATTATTTTCTTTCCATTTCATTGTTCTGTAATTTTGTTCAAAATAGGACTATTAGTCTTCTCTACAAGTCCACAAGAACACTATTTTAACTGTCCTTACCAGTTGAGCTCTGAGAAGGCTGGCCAAACATATCACGATGCCATGGTACAAATTTTGACATCTAACCCATTTTCCAATTTTACTTCTGCTGTCTCCCCTGGCTCAACTTTCATAAGTTGCACTTCCATGACAAGGCCATCTAAATTATTTTACATGAATTCTCCTTTAATTTATTCACCTATAAGTGCACTGACTGACATGATTCACATCTTCAATCATGGTTGTGCGAACATTCTATGTTCCTTCGGGCATTTTCTTTCATATGTACCTTCAATTATTTTAGATCTTGAGTTAATAATAGTAACCGGCACTTTATGTTTTGCTAGCATTTGCTTAAATTTTGATTGACATGGAGCAATGAAAACATTTGGTGAACCTATTGCTATTGGATGGAACATATCATGCGTTATACTTTGTTTTTTCTGAAAATCCCAAAATTTAAGTCAACATAAACTCAAAAAGTTAGTATTGAGGTACACAAACTGAAATATAACTTTTTTTAAGTAGCTTATATATTTATTTTAGTTGTAACTTTAATATTGGTAGTTTCTTATAGTAAAACATGCTTATGATGTCTCTATCATGAGAGTTGATTATAATTTCTTGGAATATTTTTTTATACAGTGAAATTACTGTTGTGGCTGATGTTTGAGGTTGGATTGAAGTTTCCTAAATCTATATCTGTGGCCAACTTAAATGTTTGATGTACTAATATAGAATTAGGTATACTGTTGCAGTTCATTGGTTAGATGGTGGAAAGGTTGGATGCCTATCCTATTCCTTATTTTCCTATGATTGGTTTTGGTAAAACACTGCTTTTTATCTGAATTATCTCCGTAGGAGGAATAATTATGAGTTTGGATGGTTTGGAAATATGCTAATTGAATAATGTTTTGGTTTCAGTGGTTGGTATTTGATGGGGTTTCTGAGCTTGACTGAAATTTATTGCAATTCTTTATTGATTTAACCAAATGAATATTTTTTGCTAGATTTTTATGTGAATTTGAGGAAATTTATGATTATAAAAGGAGACCTGAAGCATTTAGCATTCATTCAAGTAATTTTTGAATAGTTTTTTAGTTGGATGTGCACTTATTTTTAGGGTTCCTCTTGTATGACATGGTAAAATAGATAGTAAAAACAAAATTTTCATGGGAATCAATCATAAAAAAAATCCTCGTTATTTGTCTGAGTATCGACAATTTTGGATTTTTGTATAGAACATGGTCTCATAATGGGTTAGTGTTTGAAGGTGGCATAAAATTGATCTCAATATCTCAGTTATGTAGGATGCTTGATAAGCGAATGTTTAAAAAGAAGTGCATGAAACCAAGTTTCAAATCGGGCAAATGCCTACATCGAGTCCATGCCAAATATTGATAAGGGTACACCTCCAACTTGTATAAGGTCACTTATTGAATTATTTTAGCTCCAGATACTTAAAAGAAAAGTTTTAAGACTAGCTCTTTTCATTTCTGGATGAGAAGTAAATGGTATAAAGGGTTTGATATGTTGAAATTAACTTTGGCCCCTTAGATCTGTTGAAATTAACTTCTGAAGTCACATCAGTTCCGAACATTCCAATACAACAATTTGGTATGTTAAAACAATTGTTCCACAAAAAATATAGAAAAATCAATATGTTGCCAGTTAATTTTAAACATACAATTTATCCTTACATATGTATGAGAAGGTGTATTTCATTTTATAAAAAGTTAAAAAGATGATATTTTTGATGTAATATGAAAGATTTAGGTGGCAAAAATATGAAAGTGAAGTGATACCGTTCTAGAGCTTCTAAAAGGTATTTAGGAAGGGGATTTAGCAGGGAGGAGGTTGTGGAATAGTGAGACAATGAAATTTGATGGCGTTTGAAAGAATGTAGAAATGACAAATATGTTGTTGGACAACAGGTGAGATGAGTACGACGGTTGTTCCGGTTGAAAATAGCACATAAAACTCCGAATCCGTGATGTTCAGGCTGCGAGGAGGTTCCACCATATGTTCCCGAGCAAGATACATATACACTATATGCAAAAGGAGAATGATACAACACTCCGAAGAGCATAACACAGAGTAAAGTATCTCAATTCATAAAATCAACAAAACTAATGTCTCAAAGAGCTAAAACCAAATATATAGAAGTTCACTATCAATAAATAACCTAAATTAGAAAATAAAGAAAAAAGAAGGAAAAAAAGGAAAAAATGAAAATAGAAAAGGTTGAAATAGGTAATGTTCCGCTCGACTGTCAATCCCACCATCGCAATATTCTGCGATCCCACGTTTGTGCTCTATCGTGGAATAGCGAAATGCCTGCAAACTTCCTATACACGGGATCGATTTTGCGATTGTGGGATTGATTCCGCAATTGTGGAATCCTACTATTACGGGATCACGGGAGACCGTCACGAAGTTTAGGTGTAAGATACGTAAAAATAGAGTAAAAGCCCATAAAACTAGTCTTCTGTCTAAAATTGCAAATTAAAGAAACTACTAGGAACTCTACAACCTAAGCATGTACATATAAACTGATTTTTAGTGGCAAGGAGATGCAAAACAAATGCATTAGCAATTGATTATTGGCACCAAATAAAACTTTAAAAATATCTTCAGCATAATACAAATGCCCCTTAATAAGTAATTCAAAAGATTTGATTTATTTTTCTAGCAATGAGTATATCAAGGTTTCTTACTACACTTCAGAATTAATATGATAGAATTTAGAATGAAAATGTTAATGGCTCATAAATCACATAATAAATGAATCATTCTTTAATTTCATAATTTTCTTTACAAGAAAAAAAAGTTAAATGAAGAGAAATATATATGCTAATGAATGAAATATATGGCACACCAAAATGTAAAAAGAACCTTGAATTTAACATTCTCGTAAAGTTGTTACCAACAACATCTTTATAGAAGATCTCATAAAGCTTTGGCAGAGACGACTCCTTCAGGGTACAGCCTCGACCAAGATAGAGTGATGCGGACCGAAGCCCCGTGGCCGAGATAGAGAAGTGCGAATAACTCAGGCAGATCTACTTTGGCTTGGCGGCAACATAGATGCAAAGGCCAGCCACTTGGGAGCTTGTTTAGATTTGGCCTTCAAGCAAGAGATTTGTCTGTCAAAAATCAAGGAAGAGGCGAAGGCGAGCTCTCTGCGTGCTTGTTTGATTTCGGCCTTCAAAGCAAGAGTATAGTCTGCTTTATTTTTTGCAATAAACGAAAGGGATTTCGTGGGAGCAGAGACGAAAGGATTTCCCGATAAATTTCTTTTTCGCTTGGTTTGAGAATAATTAATTTATGTTGCAAAACTTCTTTATCATAAATCTTATTTACCTTATAAATTCATAGCATTTTTATTTTACGACACACCACATATTAAAATTTTTAAAACTCATGTATTTATTTTATAGTACCCCACTAAAACTATCAACCAAATGACCCCTTAATGTTACATAGAGTTAAATGAAAAAACTTTTAAAAGAAAAATATTTATCTATATCTTTTTCTTTCTTGATTGTTTTCTAAATGAATTTAATTCATTTAAGAAAGAGCCCAAAGCTTTTATGGAATGCATCAACAAAGTTGAAGATTGACTGTTGAATTATGATATTATTGATGATCCTAATTTTATACTCTCTAGGTATTCTCCAAATTTGTGATCCAACATCAAACAAAAGATGACATATAACTACATTTCATAACTCGAGCATGCTTTTCAACTTGCATTAGATACTAAAATTGTGTGTTTAATAAAATTAACTATATATGTAGGTAGTGAATCATTTTGTCATTGCGATCAAGTACAATCTATTTCACATGTTACTTCTAAGGGTGTTATTACCTTCTTTGTCAAAAGGATAATAAGGGAGAGTCAAATGCATCTACACATTCATCAAAGATTTGTATAAAAGCATGTTTTAAGTGTTACTAAATTGATCGTTATGTTATTGAGTTTTCCAATAATAACATGCATATAAATGTAGAGGAATATAATTAAATTAATGATATGATTATTTTCATGAGTTCAAAGAAGATATCCGTAATATTGAGGTTGTTTTAGTTGACAATTCCTTGAGTGTCACTCGTTGTATCCTAATAACTTCTAAAGTTTAATTTATTTAGAGGATGACTACAAAATTTCAAATTTACTTTAAACATATGAAATACAAACTCATTGTTAATAGTGAAGACTGCATGAATGCCATATCTATGATTGCTTTGAATTGAATAAACTTGAAAATTAAATCGTATCCACAAGCATATATTGTAGTTTGTGTGGATATTTCTATCTATGAGGTTTTTAGTATTGATTCAATAACATGTGTATATTAATTGAATTATGTGTGATGTGTTAATCATGAACATTGATCGTACTATTTTATTGAGTATGATAGACCTTTGCTTTTTGATCTAGTTGTTACTCTTTTTGAGTGATCTAATATATTTGCTTTCAAGACTATTGAGAAAATGACCATTTTTAACCTTATGAGGCCAAATGGTAAATCTAAATTTATATAATTATCTAGTGCTCCTAATGAAGTTAAAAGCCTACATATTTTTGATTTGTTACACATTTGGGTGATCTAATATGTTTACTTTCAAGACTATTGAGAAAATGATCATTTTGAGCCCTAAAGGCCAAATGGTAAATCTAGATTTTCATAATTATCTTGTGCTCGTAATGAAGTGAAAAGTTTGCATATTTTGAGTAAGCTTGTATTTGAGAAATATAACATAGAAGAGGAGTGATTTATACTTTTTTGGTTATTTATTTGAATAATGTAGTGCCTAAAATTGTGATTTTGTCTGATAACAAGTGTTGCCTAACTTAAAGAAATTTTTTTCTTAATGAGGATACATAGTATGCTTTTAATTTAGTTCCCAAATCATTATTGTTTGATTTCTCTCATTATAGGATGAATCTAATAAAACATGTTAAACTTATAATGTAGAGTGATGATTTACTTAAGAAGAGATTTATGATATAAAGCATGAGTCCTTAAATTTTACCAACTTTTCTCACCAAAGGAGGATGC